GCGTGGGCTAGTTCATGAGGTCACGAAGAGTCGGAAGCGACTGAACGAATGAACAACAACAAACAACCGGGACTCCCTGCCACTTTGGAGGGTATATATGACCAAACTGGGGCCAAAAGGGGAGTCTATTCTTTTTTTAGGACCATCTTTTCTGGGACACTCAGATTGTATGTTAAACTAAGGAAAAAATCCATTTTTGAATTAAACCCTTCACCATCTCCCAGCAATGACCAGTATTATATTGAGAAAGAAAAACTTTTGCAAGCTGTACTTGAAACCTTTTCAGTATAACACTGACCTCACACAACCTCACTTTTCTTTACGCTCCAACATTGACAGAATGAGGCAATTGGAGACTTTATTATTGCAAAAATTAAAAAAGGACTCCTAGTCGTACAAAGTTGTCCTTAGTTCTCCTGAATTCAGGGTTGGGCACTTCAAATATGCAGAGTCTTTGGTTGCAAAACTCTCCCTTTGTCAGATTTGACAGCCTTGTGTCTCTCGGAGCAGAAGTGACCTTTGCCAAGGGACACAAGAAATGGAAATGTGCCACCTACGCAGGGCCATTGTGCCGCATCTCAGCTGAAGGCAGTAAAGGAAACGTGTGGAAGTTGACAGTATCCCAGCATTCAGGCATCACCTTTGCATCTTGAGGAGCATGATAGACATCCAACAACAATAGCTCTTTCTCTCTTTTAAAGACATATGTGGGGAAGGAAAAGCATATCCCTTTCAACTGTCTCAATTTGACAGGGACCATCGCAATTAATACTCTTGTCATCCCACTGTGTGTACTGCATCTAAAATGTCCCAGTTTCTCCGTCGTGGTCCCTGTGAATCGCACATATGGCAGAAAGTACCATATGTGCGAATTCACAGGTGACCACTTGAAGAAACATGGTTACAGGTAAGCATCTACTTCTCCGTTGTGGTCCCTGTGAATTCGCACATATGGTACTTTCTGCCATATGTGCGAATTCACAGGTGACCACTCAGAGAAACACGGTTACAGGTAAGCATCTACTTCTCCGTTGTGGTACCTGTGAATTTGCACATATGGTACTTTCTGCCATATGTGCGAATTCACAGGTGACCACTCGGAGAAACACGGTTACAGGTAAGCATCTACTTCTCCGTTGTGGTCCCTGTGAATTTGCACATATGGTACTTTCTGCCATATGTGCAAATTCACAGGTGACCACTCGGAGAAACATGGTTACAGGTAAGCATCAACTTCTCCGTTGTGGTCCCTGTGAATTCACACATATGGTACTTTCTGCCATATGTGCAAATTCACAGGTGACCGCTCGGAGAAACATGGTTACAAGTAAGCATCTACTTCTCCGTTGTGGTCCCTGTGAATTCGCACATATGGTACTTTCTGCCATATGTGCAAATTCACAGGTGACCACTCGGAGAAACATGGTTACAGGTAAGCATCAACTTCTCCGTTGTGGTCCCTGTGAATTTGCACATATGGTACTTTCTGCCATATGTGCAAATTCACAGGTGACCACTCAGAGAAACATGGTTACAAAGTAAGCATCTACCTCTCCGTTGTGGTCCCTGTGAATTCGCACTATGTACTTTCGTCGAAATTATGTGCGAATCTCAAAGTCAGGTGACCGCTCAGAGAAACATGGTTACAAGTAAGCATCTACTTCTCCGTTGTGGTCCCTGTGAATTCGCACATATGGTACTTTCTGCCATATGTGCAAATTCACAGGTGACCGCTCGGAGAAACATGGTTACAAGTAAGCATCTACTTCTCCGTTGTGGTCCCTGTGAATTCGCACATATGGTACTTTCTGCCATATGTGCAAATTCACAGGTGACCACTCGGAGAAACATGGTTACAGGTAAGCATCAACTTCTCCGTTGTGGTCCCTGTGAATTCACACATATGGTACTTTCTGCCATATGTGCAAATTCACAGGTGACCGCTCAGAGAAACATGGTTACAAGTAAGCATCTACCTCTCCGTTGTGGTCCCTGTGAATTCGCACATATGGTACTTTCTGCCATATGTGCAAATTCACTCGGAGAAACACGGTTACAGGTAAGCATCTACTTCTCCGTTGTGGTCCTTGTGAATTCGCACATATGGTACTTTCTGCCATACATGCAAATTCACAGGTAAACACACGGAGAAACACGGTTACAGGTAAATAACCTATACTTTTCACTCCTCCTCTGACTTTTCCCTCAGCTTATTTCTATTGTTGTAAACAGAAGCAAAAATAGTTCACTGTCAGTTAAGGAGAGGAATCTAGCCTTTTCCAGAAGGCTCACGCAAATGCAAATTGCTGCTGTCTTTCCAGTGTATATCAACACTGAAAAATTAAATCATTTTGACACCATTTTAACTGCCATGGCTCAAAGCTACGGAATCATGAGAATTTGTAATGTTTAGCATTCGGGTGCCTCACCAAAGTACAAATCCCAATATTTATTTCTTTATTTACATTTATATGCCGCCCTTCTCACTTCACTTTATTTCTTAATTAGTCGCTCTCCACCAAGGTGCTCCGAGTGACTTACAATCTAAAATAGCATTTCACAATATAAAAACATACAACATTAAAACATTCAACAGTGACTATTTGGCAAATTAGATCTGATTACTTAAATGCACAACCAAACAGCCAAGTCTTGAGTGCCTTTACTAAAGGTCGCAACTCCGACATTGCTCTAATGTATGGAGGCAATGAGTTCCACAGAATTGGAGCATAGGTCGAAAAAGCTCTATGCCTTGTAGCTTCCAGGTGTACCTCCCTAGGGCCTGGTATGTATAGGAGATTTTCCTGGGTGGATCGAGGTGACCACTGATGGAGAAAAGGAATGAGGCGGTCCCTAAGATATAAAGGTCCTTGGCCATTTTGAGCTCTAAATGTCAGGATCAGGATCTTGTAAGAGATCCGATGTTCTATTGGTAGCCAATGCAGTTGTTGTAGAATCGGTGTATCAGTTGCTAGTCAATGTCCCCAAACAACATAAATACAGTTAAAAACAAATATATATATATATATATATATATATATATATATATATATATATATATATATATATTGTTGTTGTTGTTGTTCATTCGTTCAGTCGTCTCCGACTCTTCGTGACCTCATGGACCAGCCCACGCCAGAGCTCCCTGTCGGCCGTTACCACCCCCAGCTCCCTCAAGGTCAGTCCAGTCACTTCAAGGATGCCATCCATCCATCTTGCCCTTGGTCGGCCCCTCTTCCTTTTGCCTTCCACTTTCCCCAGCATAATTGTCTTCTCTCGGCTTTCCTGTCTCCTCATGATGTGGCCAAAGTACTTCAACTTTGTCTCTAGTATCCTTCCCTCCAATGAGCAGTCGGGCTTTATTTCCTGGAGGATGGACTGGTTGGATCTTCTCGCAGTCCAAGGCACTATCAGAACTTTCCTCCAACACCACAGTTCAAAAGCATCTATCTTCCTTCGCTCAGCCTTCCCTAAGGTCCAGCTCTCACATCCGTAGGTTACTACAGGGAATACCATGGCTTTGACTAGGCGGATCTATACACACACGATATATTATATTATTAGCATAGTACAATATCTGTATTAAATATTACTATATTGTACTATACCATTATATTGTAATATTATTTGTAATATTACATGTAATATAAATATATAATTATAATATCATATTATTAGTAGTAGTATAATATTGCATTACATTATAATATTACAAATATTATATGCATATAAGGTAAAGGAAAAGGTTTTCCTCTGACATTAAGCCCAGTCGTGCCCAACTCTGTGGCGTGGTGCTCATCTCCATTTCTAAGCCGAAGAGTCGGCGTTGTCCGTAGACACCTCCAAGGTCATGTGGCCGGCATGACGGCATGAAGTGCCGTTACCTTCCTGTCAGAGCAGTACCTATTTATCTACACACATTTTCATGTTTTCGAATTGCTAGGTTATTAGAAGCTGGGGCTGACAGCGGAAGCTCATACAGCTCCCTGGATTCGAACCTGTGACGTTTTGGTCAACAAACTCAGCATCTCAGTGCTTTAACCCACTGCGCTACTGGGGGCTCCCATTATATACATATACAATACATTGTATTACAATACTAGACGTCCCCTGCCACGCATTGCTGTGGCTCACGTGAGGGTTCTGTGTGGGAGGTTTGGCCCAATTCTATCGTTAGCGGGGTTCAGATTGCTCTGTGATTGCTGGTGAGCTATAAATCCCAGCAACTACAACTCCCAAATGTCAAGGTTCTGTTTTCCCCAAACTCCACCAGTGTTTACATTTGAGCATATTGAGTATTCGTATAGAGTTTGGTCCAGATCCATCATTGTTTGAGTCCACAGTGCTCTCTGGATGTAGGTGAACTACAACTCCAAAACCAAGGGACACTGCCCACCAAACCCTTCCAGTATTTTCTGTTGGTCATGGGAGAACTGTGTGCCAAGTTTGGTTCAATTACATCATTGGTGGTGTTCACAATGCTCTTTGATTGTAGGTGAACTATAAATCCCAGCAACTACAACTCCCAAATGACAAAATCATTTTTCTTTTAAGTGGACATACATTGGGTTGTTAGGTGTCTTGTGTCCAAATTTGGTGTCAATTCGCCCAGTGGTTTTTGAGTTCTGTTAATCCCACAACCGAACATTACATTTTTATTTATATAGATTATACAATATTACAATATGCAATAGCATTGAGCCATGGCAGTTAAAGTGGTGTCAAACCGTATTAATTCTAAAATGTAGATGCACCTTCTGTCTTTTTCTGCTCCTTAATAACCATTGTCATCCTCAAAACACACACTGATGTTGCTTGGCCACACCTGTCCCAATTTTAACCTGTGAAATCTAGTACTTTCCTATATTGTAACAGCGGGAAAACTCAAACAAAACAAAAATAAAGTCCCCTGATTCATAAAGATGTCAAACTGGGTGAAGAAACACCAGCAAAATCCTGAAGACATTCAAGAAAAGGAAGAGTTGAGAAGTTCTGCTTACCGCTTGCTCTCTCTCCGAATCATCGCTTCCCCAAATTGAGAGTCTCCACTGTGCTTCTTTTAGGTGGGATTGTCCTTTGTGGTCCTTCCAGCTCCTTTAGTTCCAATGGTTCTGTTGCTGGGTCTGGTTTTTGCTCCTGGCGCCACCTGAATCCATGCAAAAGCCAACCTGTATGCAGAGCAGCACAACACAGCCTCTGTGAACCAGCTGAGTCAAAACGGGTGGGTCATATGCTGATGTGTGGTTAAAAGGAACTGGGTTATGCATGAGGTGTGTGTGTGGACTTGTGTGTCAGGAAGAGATTGTTGGGTTTTTATTTAAAAAGGCAGAACTGACTTCTGACAAAGATTCCATTGCCACTGGAAGTCTTTATTTTTTCATCCTCAGGATTTGGATGTCTTGGAGCAGAGTTTCTCAAACGGTACTCCTCCAGATGTTTTGGACTTCCGCTCTCACCATTCTTAACAGCTGGTAAGCTGGCTGGGATTTCTGGGAGCGGGTATCCAAAAGACCTGGAGGAGCACAGTTTGAGAAATACGGTCTTGGACAGTAGCTTTCATGGCACACATCAATTCAACAGGTGAAATTTTCCCATTCTTTGGTAGGAATAAAAGGTAAAGGTAGTCCCCTGACATTAAGTCCAGTCATGTCTGACTCTGGGGTGTGGTGCTCATCTCCATTTCTAAGCCGAAGAGCCAGCGTTGTCCGTAGACACCTCCAAGGTCATGTGGCCGGCATGACTGCATGGAGCCCCGTTACCTTCCCGCCGGAGCGGTACCTATTGATCTACTCACATTTGCATGTTTTCGAACTGCTAGGTCGGCAGAAGCTAGGGCTGACAGCGGAAGCTCATGCCGCTCCCCGGAATCAAACCTGCGACCTTTCGATCAACAAGCTCAGCAGCTCAGTGCTTTAACCCACTCCGCCACCGGGGGCTCAGTCCTGCTTAAACCTTTATCCTCAAAAATTTTCAGCCCCAGTTTTACTCTTCCACTTCCTCCTTTTGTCTTCAGCTTACGACAATTGCAGCAAATCAAGTTCAACGCACAAAAGTAATTTGTGCTCAGTTCAGTTTGTTGTTTATTCATTCAGTCGCTTCTGAGTCTTTGTGACTTCATAGACCAGAGTTCCCTGTCAACCGTGGCCACCCCCAGCTCCTTCAAAGTCAAGCCAGTCACTTCAAGGATAACATCCGTCTATCTTGCCCTTGGTTGGCCCCTCTTCCTTTTTTCTTCCATTTTCCCCAGCATCATTGTCTTCTCCAAGCTTTCCTGTCTTCTCATGATAGACCAGCTCACCCAGAGCTCCCTGTCAACCATGGCCACCCCCTCTCCTTCAAAGTCAAGCCAGTCACTTCAAGGACAACATCCATCTATCTTGCCCTTGATTGGCCCCTCTTCCTTTTTCCTTCCATTTTCTCCAGTATCATTATCTTCTCCAAGCTTTCCTGTCTTCTCATGGTAGAGCAGCTCACCCAGAGCTCCCTGTCAACCGTGGCCACCCCCTCTCCTTCAAAGTCAAGCCAGTCACTTCAAGGATAGGATACTATCCATCCAGTTTACCTCTTCCTTTTTCCTTCCATTTCCCCCCCAGCATTATTGTTTTCTCCAAGCTTTCCTATCTTTTCATTATATGGCCAAAATACAAATACTAAGATATGTTTTAATTTTAGGACACAAATGCTGTTTTTAAAATTTTGAGATGGTAAAGTGCTCCCAGAAACCAAGCATTCCCCCAACTACTATCCTGCAGAAATGTTGGCTTGCAGCTCCCATAGTCCCTAAATGGTTTATACCACTGGGGATGATGGGAATTGCAGCGTGAGACACCCAGAGGATATCAGTTTAGAAAAAAGGTGGATTGGGAAGTACATACAGTTGTTTCTTCCCTTCTCTAATCCCTTCACCGCGATAGGTGAGTTGCTTTGTGCTGCGGCCAGCATTACCTACTGAACCCTACGTTTCTGCTGTTTGTTTTCATCTGTAGAATTGAGGAAGGCGAGAATGCTTTCCCATTCTGCCATTTAAAGCTTCAGCTGATGACTCCCTTGCATATCTGGCTGCTGTGAAAAGCAGAAAAAGTCGCTGTTGTAATCCTGGGCAGTTGGCAATCCTGTTCACCCAGTCAGAATTCAGAACACATTGCCTGTTTTCCTGGAAGTTTACAACATACATTCAAATAATAGCAGCATTAAAGCAATAGTGTGTGCATGTTTGGTGCCATTGGAAACATTTCACTTGGGGAAAGTACCGTTTCCATAATCCCCATAGTCCCCAGGAGTTTGAAAATGTCGTATTTTTGAGTACTAGCTCCAAACACGAGAGGGTGTCAGAGCGGTCGCCAAAGACCATCAGAAAACACAGTATTTTCTATTGGTCATGGGGTTCTGTGAATTACAAATCCCAGCAACTACAAATGTCAAGATCTATTTTCCCCAAACTTCATCTGTGTTCACATTTAGTCATATTGAGTATTTGTGCCAAGTTTGGTCCTGATCTATCATTGTCTGAGTCCACAATGCTCTCTGGATGTAGGTGAACTGCAACTCCAAAACTCAAGGCCAATGCCCACCAAAGCCTTCCATTATTTTAGGGTGGCCATGGGGGTTCTGTGTGGGAAGTTTGGGCCAATTCTATCATTGGTGGGGTTCAGAATACTCCTTGATTGTAGGTGAACTATAAATCCGAGCAACTACAACTCCCAAATGTCAAGATCTATTTCCCCCAAACTTCAACAGTGTTCACATTTAGTCATATTGAGTATTTGTGCCAAGTTTGGTCTTGATCTATCATTTTTTGAGTCCACAGTTCTCTCTGGATGTAGGTGAACTACATCTCCAAAATTCAAGGTCAATGCCCACCAAATGTTTCCAGGATTTGGTGGGCCATGGGAGTTCTGTGTGCCAAATTTGGTTCAATTCCATCATTGGTGGGGTGCAGAATGCTCTTTGATTGTAGGTGAACAATAAATCCCAGCAACTATAACTCTCTAATGGCAAAGAGAGGGGGAGTTGTAGTCCAAAACACCTGGAGAGCTGAAGTTCGCCCATACCTGGATTAGAGATGTATGAAGCATATTTCTAGAAACGTTTAGGCCAATTGTTCTTAACCTTTCAATTATCACGACCCCTTAATACAGTTCCTCATGTTGTGGTGACCCCCAACCATAACATTATTTTCATTGCTACTTCATTACTGTAATTTTGCTACTGTTATAAATCATAATGCAGATATCTGATATGCAGGATGTATTTTTATTCACTGGACCAACTTTGGCACAAAAACCCAATGCGCCCAAATTGTTGCTGGTGAGGTTGGGGTGATCAGTGATTTTGTCATTTGAGAGTTGTAGCTGCTGGGATTTGTAGTTAACCTACAATCATAGAATCATAGAATCAAAGAGTTGGAAGAGACTTCGTGGTCCATCCAGCCCAACCCCATTCTGCCAAGAAGCAGGAATATTGCATTCAAATCACCCCTGACAGATGGCCATCCAGCCTCTGTTTAAAAGCTTCCAAAGAAGGAGCCTCCACCACACTCCGGGGCAGAGAGTTCCACTGCTGAACGGCTCTCACAGTCAGGAAGTTCTTCCTCATGTTTCAAAGCCTCCTCTCTTGTAGTTTGAAGCCATTGTTCGCGTCCTAGTCTCCAAGGAAGCAGAAAACAAGCTTGCTCCCTCCTCCCTCTCAAATATTTATACATGGCTATCATATCTCCTCTCGGCCTTCTCTTCTTCAGGCTAAACATGCCCAGCTCCTTAAGCCGCTCCTCATAGGGCTTGTTCTCCAGACCCTTGATCATTTTAGTCGCCCTCCTCTGGGCACATTCCAGCTTGTCAATATCTCTCTTGAATTGTGGTGCCCAGAATTGGACACAATATTCCAGGTGTGGTCTAACCAAAGCAGAATAGAGGGGTAGCATTACTTCCCTAGATCTAGACACTAGGCTCCTCTTGATGCAGGCCAACATCCCATTGGCTTTTTTTGCCGCCACATCACATTGTTGGCTCATGTTTAACTTGTTGTCCACGAGGAGCATTCTGAACCCAGCTCACAATGGATCTGCACCAAACTTGGCACACTACCTACATGGAAATCCTAACAACTGGCAAACTGGGTGGGATTTCTAGGAATTGTAGGCCAAAATAGCTGGGGACCCACAGGTTGAGAATCACTGATCTAGAAGCTGCAAATGTCCCCCTATGGGCAGTGGTTCTCAACCTTCCTAATGCCACAACCCCTTAATACAGTTCCTCATGTTGTAGTGACCCCCAGATATTTGGAATTGTGGGAGTTGTAGTCCAAAACACCTGGAGGGCCAAAGTTTTCCCATGCCTCCTCTAACCACGATGCATAACTCCATCCACCTTCCCCCTTTCTTTCTTATCTGCACCTGTAGAAAAGGTGTGTGTCCCTTTAACTCCTGTCTTCCCCTCCCAAAGAGAATTTATAAATGGACCACTTTTTCCCCCCTTGGCCCTCCTTCTAATTTCTTTTTAAATTTCCTTTACTGTCTGAAGTGGGTTATTGTAGGTAGAAAAAGGGGGTTTTTTTGTATCGAAGATATGGTTTCCGTTTGGTTGGGGAGAGACGAGATGGTTAGAAAGGAGGCCTAGATTAAAATCTCCAATGAGCTCAGCAAATTCATAGATTAAGATTTTAAAGTAGAACTGGAAAGTAAAATAGTTCCTGGTTTATTATTATTATTATTATTATTATTATTATTCCTTTTTTTAAAGGGACAGGGATAAAGGAGAGTTGCTAATTGATAAAGTCGGAAGAATCAGCATTGAGTATAGGGGAGGGGAAGAATTAAAAACATAAAGAAATAAGCTTTAAAAAATAGCTTTTTGTTCTATTTGTCCCCTAATATGCAATTTAAGGGCTCAATTAATGGGAAATAGTTAAACATTCCTATACTAAAAAGGACTGGGCTGTGGGCTGATGTTCTTGGTGGGTTTAGCTCCTCTTAAATTGTCTACTGCTTGCCTTTTCTACTTGCTATTTATTGATGGGGAAGGAAATGTTGCAGTTGGTTGCCAACGTTCTTCACTTTGAATTTAGTCAACTTTGAAAGACTGCGAAACTTCATCTGAAATGTACTAAACTCCAACTGAATTTGGCCAACGTTTAGCAAATCATGTCCAACCTGGAGAAAGAAGAACTCTCCAATGCAATTATCCACTATCTTAGAAGTCTTGGGATTCATCTCCATCCTTGGAAGACCAGCCCTAGCGAGGTGAGTAGGGCAAGAGT